AGAGGGAGAGGGTGACTGTGGGAACCGAGGGGAGGGGGAGGGAGAGAGAGAGAGGGTGACTGTGATGAGGAAATGTGATGCTGAAATCCTGCTTTGCCTTTTGCCCCTTGGAGACCTTCACCATGTTGTAAAACTGCTCTCGTTCTCAGACCCTTGCTCTTGTTCCGCACTGTAACCCCCAGGAGCTTGGTAGGTCCCACCTGAACTAGCTGCTCTTCAGACTGTAACCGCCACTCTTCCTCCCCCCCGCAACACTCCTCCACCCGTTCTCCCCACTCCTGTCCCTTGTCTCCTCCCTCTCCTCCAGCCCGTGTCAGTAACAAGTTGTTAGCCTCACTACCACTTCCCCAACCCTGGATCCCTCTCACCAAACCCTTCCATCCTACAGCTTCATGATGAGTTTCCACCTCGCTCTGTCCTCTCCCCTCGCTCCCCCGGGGTAGGGCTGCTGTCTAACGTTGTTGTGTGTAACCCCCCTCCCCCACCCCCGCTGTGCTGTTGCCAGGTGAGGGGTGCCCCTGCCATCGCGATCGTCGGCTGCCTGAGCCTGGCCGTTGAACTACACCGGAGGGACGAAGGGGCCAATAAGGATGACCTGGCCAGCTTTGCACTCGAGTCGCTGGGGCATCTCGTGACCTCCAGGCCCACGGCGGTGAACATGGCGCAGGCAGCGCGGGAACTGTCCGACTTTGTGTCACGTGAGGTCAAACGGCCGGACTCCACAGCAGAGAGCTTCAAAGAAAAGTGAGTGTAGACCGAGCGGTCCCGTGAACTTCTGGGAGACATCTCTGGGACTGTGGAGTGAGCTGGTGGCACAGAGAGTCAGGGGGATTGAGTCTGAATACTCCACTCGAAATCCACACTGGGACTTCACAACCATGTAGACTTGTGCTTTACTGACTGGCAATCTACTGTTTTCACAGAATCCCTGCAGTGTGGAAACAGGCCATTCGACCCAACAAGTCCACACCGACCCCTCTGAAGAGCGTTCCACCCAGACCCATTCCCCTACTGCTGTATTTCCCATGTCTAACCCACCTAATGTACACATCCCTGAACACTATGGACAATTTAGCATGGCCAATCCAACTAACCTGCACATCTTTGGACTGTCGGAGCAAACCCACGCAGACACGGGGAGAATATGCAAATTACACACAGACAGTCGCCCGAGGATAGGATCGAACCCGGGTCCCTGGCCCTGTGAGGCAGCAGTGCTAACCACTGAGCCACCGTGCCGCCAATCTACTGTTTTAAATGCGATGATGCATCAAATCTAACTTTCAAGTCCTCTCACTTCCCTTCCTATTTATTAATTCACAAGTTCTCTCCTCAGGGGCAAATACTCACCTCGTTTTTCGGTCAATGCTTCATCCTGAACCATTCTCTTGGCGGTTTTTTTTGTCATACCCTGATTTCCCATTGCTTTTGACTCTCAGGGGCAGGGTAGAGACACAAGTCCTGAGTCTATCTCATGGGAACTGAACCCATGCCATTGCTGTTATTCAGAACTATTTAATCAGCACCTATCCCTTTAACTTCCCTCTCCAGCGATCCCAAGTCTCACTGCACCTCCAATTCTAGATCTCGTCTACCCCCAATTCATTGTCTGGCTCCATCTAGGTATCCGCTCATCTGGACCCTAAACTTGGGATTTCTTTCCCGAAACTCCCAGTTCTTGACACCTCTCTGTTGCTTTAAGCCACTCCTTAAAGCCAACCTCTCATCCATCTATTGCGACGCCTTTTTGCATATCCCGCTGTTAAATCTTGTTTGTTGACATTCCTGAGAAGGTGCTTTGGGACGTACTTTTTTTGTGGTGTTGCAGGTGCTACAGAAATGCAAGTCTGAATAAACACGCAATATCTGCGCAATTCGAACATAAAGTTTGCTGATGTCTTGGCCAACATTCCAAAGCAATCACCTTTTTATTTTGAGAGATGGTGAACACACCAACTGGGTCAGAGGGCAGTTAAGAGTCAGAAACATTGCTATGGGTCTGGAGTCACATGTAAGCCAGACCAGGTAAGGACTGTTAGATTTCCCTTCCTAAAGGACATTAATGACGCAGATGGATTTTAACAATTTATCAATGATAATTTCATGGTCATCACCTCTGATTCCAGCATTTAATTCAGGATTTTAACAATGGAGTTTACATTTCACTAGCTGCTGGTGTGGGATTTGAATCCATTAACCTGGTGGCTAGTTTAGTGACAATATCACTGATTCGTCCTAATCTCATTTGATCCGTCTGAGTTGAACCTCTGTGCTTGTTTTAATCGACTTGTTATTACCCACCAAGACAAGTGGGACTGGAATCTGGGTCTGCTGGCTCAGAGGTAGGGACACTGCCACTGTACCAGAAAAGCCCGTTCAATTTAACATAGTATTCTGGGCTACAAGCAGTGACATTACCACTATACCACTGCATTCCTGTGTTACTCAAGCAGTACTTGTATAGAGTCATGGAGACGTACAGCACAAAAACAGACCCTTCAGTCCAACCCGTCCGTGGTGACCAGATATCCTAAAGTAATCTAGTCCCATTTGCCAGCATTTGGCCCATATCATGTACCCATCCGGATGCCTTTTTATTGTTGTAACTGTACCAGCCTCCATATCTGTGAACTTTATCCAGCTGCTAATTCTAATCAAAGCCCTTTCTCACCCCCTCTTACCCCTCAATGAAAAGTCTGATTTGCAGAATCGAGGCCATGTTGGACAAGGACATCCAGGACAATAAAAGTATCGGGAACCACGGGGCCAAACACATCGTCTCCAGGGCGAAAACAGAGAAAGTAATTATCCTCACGCATTGTAACACTGGCTCACTGGCAACAGCAGGATATGGAACAGCGCTGGGTAAGAGCTGCATTTGTTATTGAGCTCCTGGATGCCAGTCAGACTGGGCTTTCTTGCTTTCTCTGTCTCAGTTCTTCAGTCTGTGCCTCGGTCTCTCCCTAGCTGTGTCACTTCCCCCAGCCAAAAGACCATAAGACATAGGAGCAGAAATTAGGCCATTCGGCCCATCGAGTCTGCTTTGCCATTCAATCATGGCTGATAAGTTCCTCAACTCCATTCTCCCGCTTTCTCCCCGTAACCCTCAATCCCCTTGATAATCAAGAACCTATCTATCTCAGTCTTAAATGTACTCAATGACCTGGCCTCCACAGCCTTCTGTGGCAGTGAATTCCATAGATAACCAGATAACCATAATTCCATAGATTCCAGCCCTATAACCTCTGGAGGTTTCTTCCTGTGTGTCCCTGATTACATTTCCTCAGACAAGTGATAACCTTCCCTTTGGCTGTCCAGCCCCTGGGGAGGGAGTGGAAGCAGGTCCCTCAAGTCTGGTTCATTAAATCTCTCAACTGGCCTCTCTCTTGTGACAATGCTGTGGATTTAAGAGGTTATTTTGTACTTTTTTTAAAGAGAGGTTTTAAGACAGAGATGTCTGTTTGAAAGCCAGTAAAGTGAACAGCTTGAGAGCCTGTTTTTTTTTTAATGTTGGAACAATAGAAGCAGCCTGAATGGGTGTGGCCAGCTCTCACAGACCAGGATTTCTAGTGGTTTTTGAGTTTTAGGTATAGCTTTAAGCAGTTGCTGTTGGAGTCTCAACAGGGTGGGAGTTGCTGGAGTTTTGAAGAAGCAGAAGCTGCCTTTTCCCTCTCTTGGTTACAGCTAGAAGCTGGGGATTCTGTCTGCTACTGGGTTACCTGTGGGCCAAATCTATTTTCTGAATTTTCCTTTTTGCCAAAGTGTGTTACTATATTGGAACAGTTAATTAGTAGTTACTGTATCTATTATTCTGTTAAATTTTTCAATAGAGTTAAGTTATTCTAAATTCCTCTTTCTTTTGTTGTATTTTAACAATCGTGTTTGAATAAATTGTATTTTGCTAAACATTGAGTAGTTTGACCAGTCGCATTGCATCTGGAACACAGCACTTTACATATACATTTAAATTTAAAAAAATTTAGAGTCTAGGCTACCTTCTTAAAATATTTTGAGGGGGTCTGGTCTGGCCTATAACATCCTTCAGATTAACTGCCCAGACCTGGACTCTGGAACCTCCTTCCTATACCTCTCAAACTTTCTCTCTCTCGAAGTTTGAGAAGATTTGTAGCTTGCGTTATGGATGAGGTTGTAGACTTGGAACCAAGGCATATAAATAAGAAGTGAGACGGATCACCAGTGCTACACCGGAAGCGCACTGACGATGTTACCTAGCAGGGTGACGAAACGTCTGCAATCAAACACATCGGCTCGGCGAGCAAGTCTACAACCTCTCTCTCTCTCTTTTGCTTTCAGATGCTGCTTAAAATCCACGCAAGTCACTTGTTGTAACATCTCCTTTGGTAGCTTGGGATCAAAATTTGCCTGGCCATGTGGCTGTGAAGCAGATTGGGACATTGAAGTTGCTATATAAATGCAAGTTGGAGAGGTCTTTGTGGCACAGTGTTAGGAAGAGTTTAGAGGGATATGGGCCAAACACAAGCAAATGGGACTAGTTCAGTTTTGGAAAGTTAGTCCGCATTGATGAGTCGGACCAAAAGGTCTGTTGCTGTGCTGTATGACTCTATAAGTCCTGCCTGTGTTGTAACAAGATTGATTAAAAATATTGATGGTTTTGGCTGCCTCCACCCCCAGGTGTCATCCGCTCGCTGTGGTCCATGGGTTGTCTGGAACATGTTTACTGCACAGAGACTCGGCCGTACAATCAGGGGGCCAGGCTCACTGCCTACGAGCTGGTGCATGACAAGATCCCAGCCACACTCATTGCTGATAGCATGGTCTCCATGGCGATGAAGGAGAAAGGGATATCAGGTAACGCCTCAAACTGTGTGCCATCTTGGTGGTGTTGGGGGGTGGGCGGTGGATGGTGGGGGCACAGTGCAGGATGTGGCAGAGTATATGGCAAAGGTGGCATCATCCTTAACCTGCCAGCCTCTTGTTGACCTCTCCCCTTTTCGTTCTTGAGTCTGATTCTGGGGCGGCACGGTGGCTCAGTGGTTAGCACTGCTGCCTCACAGCGCCAGGGTCCTGGGTTCGATTCCACCCTTGGGCGACTGTCTGTGTGGAGTTTGCACATTCTCCCTGTGTCTGCGTGTGTTTCCTCCAGGTGCTCCGGTTTCCTCCCACAATCCAAAGATGTGCAGGTTAGGGTGGATTGGCCATGCTAAATTGCCCCGTAGTGTCCAGGTTTTTGCAGGCTGGGTGGGTTAGCCCTGGAAAATGTAGGGTTATGGAGATGGGATGCTCTTCAGAGGGTTAGTGCAGGCTTAATGGGCCAAATGGCCTCCTTCTGCACTGTAGGGATTTCATGAGTGAAATTGGATGGCCACGAAGCCACTGTTTTCCAAACAACTCGTGACTTAAAAGATGGCCCTCTTGATGTATTGAGGTAGCGTTCCTACCTCTGGCCTGGGTTGTACTCCAGAGACCTGTCTGAAAAGGTTGACTGACAAAAGAAAACATTGCCCCCTGACCCACCCCCAACCTACATGGGGCTCTAATTGGCGGCTTTGTGGAATGTGACGGCCAGTATTGGCCACCAGGTTGGTTCCAGTTTGACCTAAGCACCATGGGTTTCGGCGAGAGCAGGGCACAGTGCCATTTTTGCCGCTCGGTGACTGACCAGCCGACCTTGTGCACGCAGCTGTTGTGGTGGGGGCGGACCGTATCGTGGCCAACGGAGACACAGCCAATAAGATTGGGACCTACCAGCTGGCCATCGCGGCTCTGCACCACCGCATTCCTTTCTACGTGGCAGCCCCCAGCTCGTCGTGCGACCTGACTCTGGAGAGCGGGGATCAGATCGTCATCGAGGAAAGGCCTGGCAAGGAGCTGACATATTTCAACGGAGCCCGTGTCGCTGCACCAGGTAAGAAAAGGTTGCGGGTCAGTGCTCTTCGGCAAGAGTATGGTCTGAAGTCAGTGCGTATGTGTTTGATTTGATTTGATTTATTATTGTCACATGTACCAAGGTACAGTGAAAAATACTGTTTTGCGTACTAGCCAGACATGCTTTACAGAAGTACGTAATAGACTAGACTATAGTGTTACAGCTACAGAGAAGGCGCAGAGAAAGATCAGCTCTAGAATATGACAGGTCCATTTGTAAGTCTGATAACAGCAGGGAAGAAGCTGTTCTTAAATCTGCTGGCACGTGTTTTCAAACCTTTGTATCTTCTGCCCGATGGAAGAAGGTGGAAGAGATTATAACTGGGGTGGAGAGAGGTGTTTGATGATGTTGGCCGCTTTCCTGAGGCAGCAGGAAATATAGTCGGAGTCAATTAAACGAAGGCTAGTTTGTGTGATGGACTGGGCTGTGTTCACAACCCTCTGTAGTTTCTTGTGGTCTTGGGCAGAGCAGTTGCCATGCCAAGCTGTGATACATCCGGATAGGATACTTTCTATGGTGCATCTGTAAAAATTGGTAAGGGTCATTGTGGACATGCTGAATTTCCTTCGCCTCCTGAGGAAGTAGAAGCGTTCTTGACTGTGGTGTATGAAGCTAGCCACTAGTGATGGTAACCTATTGAAACCCCATCTGGTTTGTGAATGCCATTTAGGAAATTGGCTGTTCCCTCGCCCCAACCCAATCTAACTACGCTCTGAGGTGGCCCAGAAAACACCACTCAGTTGCCTAGCAATGAGTAATAAATGCCAGCCTTGCAGATGGCACACTTAAAAAGAAATTCACGAGCAGTGCCTTTTGTAATCTCTAACGGGACTAACTAATTTGAGGATAAAGGCAAAATACTGCAGATGCTGGAAATCTGAAACAGAGACTGAGAAAGCTGGAGAAACTCAGCAGCATCTGTGGAAAGAGAGAAGCAGAGTTGATGTTTTGAGTCTGATATGACTCTTCTTCAGAATGAAGAGTCTCCTCCGTTTCTCTGGGACAGTAGTCGGCACGGTGGCACAGTGGTTAGCACTGCTGCCTCACAGCACCGGGGACCCGGGTTTGATTCCAGCCTCGGGCGACTGTCTCTGTGTGGAGTTTGCACGTTCTTCCCGTGTCTGTGTAGGTTTGCTCCAGTTTCCAGTCCAAAGGTGTGCAGGTTACGGTGAATTAGCCGTGCCAAATTGCCCACAGTGTCCAGGGATGTGCAGGCTAGGTGAGTTAGTCATGGGAAATGCAGGGTGACAGGGGTGAGTCTGGGTGGGATGCTCTTCGGAGGATAGGTGTGGACTCGATGGGCCGAATGGCCTCCTTCCACACTGTAGCGATTCTGTGACAGTCATACTGGACTTGAAACACTGTTTTTCTTTCTCGACAGAGATGGGTTTCTCCAGCGATTTCTGTATTTGGTAGAGGATTAAGCCCCTGCTCTGGACCGACACGATGTCCTGGTTGTAGCAATGAATCATCGTTTTGGTGCCCAGGGAGAAAGAAAACATTTGCATTTAGTGCCACACCTTTTCGCAACCTCACTGTGTTCCAAAGCACTTGGCAGAGAATTTTTGCAGTTTTGATCCAGGAAACTGGGCAGCCAGTTTTCACTCAGCGATCTCCAACATGCAGCAATCTGATAATGACTGGATCATCTGTAAAAGCGCTGTAGGTTCGATAGATGTTGGTTCCCCACTCCCTTTCACACAGTGCCTTGGGGTCTATTACATCCTTTCAGGGTGAGGCCTGGGATTAATGTCTTATCCATTAAAGACCGCATCTCTGACAGTGTGGCACTCCGACATGTCGTCCACATGACACCACGAGACTCCCCGAGCAGGTGCCCTACTCCCAGCTCCGAAACGGCAGGTAGGCCCCAGGTGGGCAGGGGAAGCGTTTCAGCGATACCCTCCAATCCTCACTGGGGAGGTGCGGTATTCCCACTGGACACCTGGGAATCACTGGCCCAAGACGGTCCAAAGTGGAGGAGCTGCATCCGGGAAGGCATTGAGCACTTTGAGACTTGCCATCCAACGTGACCACCAACTGCCCCCAAGTGTAACAGAGCCTGTGGTAGCCCCGAAGGTCTGTACAGGCACCTACGAACTCCCCCTGAGAGTGGAAGAGAGTCATCCTCATCCGCGAGGGACCAACAAAGATAATGATGACTCCCCCCTTTACTGCTCTGAGGCGTTAACCTAGAGTGTGTGCTCAAATTTCCGGTGGCATTCAAACCCACAACTGTCCATCTGAGGGAAGACCTCTACCCAACTTGAGTCAAGGCTGACGGCGTGATGTGTAAGGTGTGACAATGATAGAGCTCTGGCCAGGCCTGATGGTGAACACTGTCAGAAGTAAAAGCAATTTTAATGCGATTGCTTTCTGTCTCTGCAGGTATCGATGTGTGGAACCCCGCGTTTGATATTACACCTCACAGCCTCATCACAGCGGGAATTGTTACACAGTTTGGGGTTCATGATCCTGGAGAACTTCGGAAAGCATTGACTGATAACGCACATCGGGACACGAGCCACACTTGTTAATTGTACACTTCCTCTTCGCCTCTTCCTACCCATGTCCCTCGTTGCTCTCACATTTGTTTGTTTTCGATCCGAGGCCTTTCTTAATTCTTCCTGAATGCCTGCTCGTTACTCAAGTTTCCCTTAGATCCCCAAACCAGAGTATTCAATCCGTGTTCCCTGCCTTTGAAAATCAACATTAGCCACTGACACAGGGCAGCGCAATGGTTGGCACTGCTGCCTCACAGCGCCGGGGACCCGGGTTCATTTCCTCCCTCGAGCGACTGTCTGTGTGGGGTTTGCATATTCTCCCTGTGTCTGCCCGGGTGCTCTGGTTTCCTCCCACAGTCCAAAGATGTGCAGGTTAGGTGGATCGGCCATGGGAAATTGTCCAGAGATGTGTTGGTTAAGTTTGGCCGTGGGAAATGTAGGGTTATGTGGATAGGGTAGAGGGGTGGGCTGCTCTTTGGATGGTCAGTGTGGACTCAATGAGCCAAATGGCTTGCTTCCACAGTGTAGAGTCTACAACACTTGACCATGACCACAAGATTTTTCTCAAATCTTCTCTTTTCTTTGCTGTCTTGACAACAAACTGGATGCTGGTTTAAATTAAACTGATTTGGCATCATCTTGCATGCATCAATGTTCCTGCTCATTTCCATGGTTTTATAATGGCACACAAACAGGATATGCTGGTGTTTACACTGCAATTCAGCCTCCCCCCTCCCATCTTTCTTCATCTAAATCTACCTGAATGCTTTGGACAGGATACAAAAGAGCTTTACCAGGATGTTGCCTGGATTGGAATGTATTAGTAATATGGAGAGTTTGGACAAACTTGGATTGTTTTCGCCAGAGCTTTGGAGTCTCAGGGGCGAACTGATGAAGTATATAAAATTGAGACGTGGATAGAGTGGGTAGTTGGAGTGTCTTTCCAGGGTGGAAATGTCAAATATGAGGGCGCATAGATTTAAGGTGAGGGGGGGAAGGTTTAAAATAGATGTGTGAGATAAGTTTATTTTACACACGGGGTGGTAGTTGTCTGGAACATGTGCCAAGGGAGGTGGTAGAAGTAGATACGATAGCAACACTTAAGAGGCATTTAGAGAGACACACATGAATAGGCAGGGAATAGAGGGATATGGATGTGCAGGCAGATGGGAATAGTTTAGATTGGCATCATGGTTGGCACGGACATGATGAGCGGAAGGGCCTGTTCCTGTTCTGTACTGTTAAAATAAACCTCTATTCCCTTCTCCCTTATCTCCTTGTCCAACCTCCCCTTAAATGCACTTACACAATTCACTACATTCACTCCTTGTGGCAGAGAGTTTGATGTTGTCCCTGCTCTTTTTAGTAAACATGATGTGAAAGTGATGGTGTTGGACTGGGGTGGATAAGGTCAGAAATCACACGACACCAGGTTATAGTCCAACAGGTTTATTTGAAATCACAAGCTTTCATAGCACTGCTCCTTCCTCAGGTGAAGTGAAGAGAGCACCCAGGCACAGACTTTATAATCAGAGAGATCAAAAGATCATACAGATGGTGTGAGTGGAGTGCCTACAAGCTGACTAGTAGGTCTCTCCAAGTGATCAAGAGTGTCAGACGGTGTGAGTAAAATGTGAACAACTGAATAACAAGTGAAGGGATGACCTATAATCTGATTAATTGAGGCAGAGGGATAATTACAAAAATTAAAAATAAGGCAGTGATCGAGACAAACCAAATGACTGGAATAATATGATAGGTATAAGAATCGCATGCCGAGGGTTTAATCAAAGTAACAAGTAATCCAAAACTCTACAAACTAATTAAGATCATAATAAGTTATGAAGGTGATGGTATCAAAATAGGAAAGTAAGGAAGATTCTACAGGTACAGATTGATGGGGTCACATGTAGCGCAACATGATCCCAAGATCACAATTGCTGCCACCTTCATGGGTACGAAACTTGGCCGTCAGTTTCTGCTTGGCAATTCTGCATTGTTATGTATCTCAAAGTCCGCCCTGGAGGATGCTTACCCGCAGATCGGAGGCTGAATGTCCTTGACCGCTGAAGTGTTCCCGGACTGGGAGAGAACATTCCTTCTGGCAATGGTTGTGCGTGTTCATTCATCTGTTGTAGCTTCTGCATGGTCTCGCCAATATACCATGCCTTGGGGCATCCTTGAATGCAGTGTGTGAGATAGACAACATTGGCTGAGTAACATGACTATCTGCCGTGTATGTAGTGGCTGTTGTTCCCACATGTGATGGTAGTATCTATGTCGATGATCTGACTTGTCTTGCAGAGGTGTTGCTGTGGCAGGGTTTATTAATGGGAGAAAACAGGGTAAAGGTAAACTATTTCCACTGATTGGGATTCCTGCTAATAGGGGGCATAATCTGAGAATTCGGGCCAGACCATTCAGGAGGGCACTTCCACACAAATGGTGCAGGATGATTGGAACTCTCTTCCACAAACAGCATTTGATGCTGGATCAATTATTAGTTTTAATATATCTTTGATTGATATATCTTTGTTAAGCAAACGTATTAAGGGACATGGGCTAAAGGCAAGAGTACGGAGTTAGGCCACAGATCAGCGTTGATCTCGTGGAATGACTGAACAGACTCAGGGGTCGAATGGCCTACTCCAATTTCTGTGTTCCCATTACCCCTCACTATCCCACAATGCCTCTTTCCATTGCCCCTGTCCTTTGTCACTATCTCACAATACCCTTCCTATTGCCCCTATCTATCCCAAAATGCTCCTCCCTGTCGCCCCTCACTATCCCACAATACCCCTCTCCATTGCGTCTATCCATCACCACGACAACCCTTTCCATTGTTCCTCAATCTGCCACAATGCCCCTCTCCATCGCCCCTCACTATCCCACAAT